TGTGGTGAGCCGAGATCGCGCCATTGCACTCCAGCCTGGGTAACATGAGTGAAACTCCGTCTCCAAAAAAAAAAAAAAAGGCTAGGCCTGGTGGCTCATGTCTGTAATTGTAGCACGTTGAGAAGTGCAGGCAGGAGGGTTGCTCAGTTAGCTCAGGTGTTAGTTAGAGATCATCCTGAGTAACAAGGCAAAACTCTGTCTCTATAAAAACTACAAAAATTAGTCGAGTGTGGTGGTCCCAGTTACTGGGGAGACTCAGGTAGGAGGATTGCTTAAGCCCAGCAGGTTAAGACTGTATTAAGCCTAGATCATACCACTACACTCCAGCCTTAGCGACAGAGTGAGATCCTGTCTCAAAAAAATAAACAATAAAAGCTAACTAATTATTTTGGCTCTCTGAGCAGCACCATGGCGGTTGGCAAGAACAAGCGCCTTACGAAAGGCGGCAAAAAGGGAGTCAAGAAGAAAGTGGTTGATCCATTTTCTAAGAAAGACTGGTATAATGCGAAAGCACCCACTATGTTCAATATAAGAAATATTGGAGGGGGGAGGATCCAAGATGGCCGATTAGGAGCAGCTCAGGATTGCAGCTCCCAGTGAAAGCACAGAGGGTGAGTGGACTTAGCATTTCCAGATGGATTTTTATTGCCCACAGACCAGGAGATTCTCAAGTGGAGGAGCCCCAGGCCCCAGCGAGGCTGTCTGGCCAGCACCGCTGCTTTGCTGGCGCCCTCGGGCGGCGGTTCTCCATACAAAATACACGGTCAGGGAACCGTTTTAGCTGGTGATTGGAGTTCTGGGAAGGCAGAGTCGCCCATTCATCTGATTAAAAAGGGGACTGAAACAGGGAGCCAGGCCAGGAGATTCCTGGGCAAAAAAACGCCGTGAATTTCAGCGCCGCTGTTTCACCCAGCGCAGTGGGTCGCCGCATGGGAAATCACACAGATCCCAGCGACTTTTCAACCGCGACTGGAACTCCTGGGAGACAAAAAAAGAAAAGTCTCTGAGGCAAGGAGCCAGGTGATCAGGCTCGTCCCACCCCCACAAAAAAACAGCAATTGGAAACGCTCTGGGTTGAAAGTTTCACAGCAAGCACAGCTGAACCCAGGAAGGTCCAGCTCTGTGGAGGAGGGGCGTCCGCCATTACCGAGGCAGTCCACCACTATGAAGGATTGCTGAGGCAGCCCGCCATTGCCGAGGCAACCCGCCACTACAGAGAGAGTCGCCAATACAAAGGTGTTCTTTGAAACCAACCAGAACGAAGACACAACATACCAGAATCTCTGGGACACATTTAAAGTGGTCTCTAGAGGAAAATATATAGCAATAAATGCCCACATGAGAGGCAAGAAGAGATCTAAAATTGACACCTTGTCCTCAAAATTGAAAGAGCTAGAGGAGCAAGATCAAAAAAACTCAAAACCTAGCAGAAGACAAGAAATAGCTAAGATCAGAGCAGAGCTGAAAGAGATAGAGACACAAAAAACCCTTCAAAAAATCAATAAATCCAGGAGCTGATTTTTTGAAAAGATCAACAAAATAGACCGCTAGCCAGATTAATAAAAAAGAAAAGAGAGAATAATCAAATAGATTCAATAAAAAATGATAAAGGGGATATCACCACAGATTCCACAGAAATTCAAACCATCATCAGAGATTATTACAAACAACTCTATGGACATAAACTAGTAAACCTGGAAGAAATGGATAAATTCCTGGACACTTACATCCTCCCAAGCCTAAACCAGGAAGAAGTCGAAACCCTGAATAGACCAATAACAAGGTCTGAAGTTGAGGCAGCAATTAAGAGCCTACCACCCAAAAAAAAGCCCA